CGCTGCCCCGCTTGTCCAGGGGCTGAGCCAAACCGGCTAGGGCTAAAATTACATTTTAAGTAACACTGTTGAATTAGAAAGTCCCCTATAACCTATGCTTTCAATTATGTAAAAAAAGGGGACACATTTACGTATAAGAAAGAACGACTAAAATACCACTAAATGTTAACAGTAGTTATATCTTTGAGGTGTGGGATTATAGGTGATTTTTGTTACTACTTTATATTTTTATAAAATTTCTGATGCACCAAGTATGCATTATTTTTATAGGCTTCTCTTTTACGGTATTTTTAATGTTACTTTGCTCCAAAGTGAAACTTCCCTCTCTATAAAGCATCTTTTGCTGACCTTCTCATGTTGGTATTCCAAGCACCTATCTATGCACATAAAGCATTCAGAGTCCCCCTCCCAGTGATACTCACCACCAATATAAATTGTTTTCTAGCTGGGCACAGGTATAGAGGGCACAGCAATGTAAAGAAACTATCCGTTCACCTTGAAGTTCAGAATAAGTCTGTGCAGTGTGCTCTAATTTAGAAGCCACAGAACTTAAAGTTTCATCTACCCATGTAGCAACCTAAAGAATAAAATAGCAAAGGTTTAAATAAAAACAAGTAACCTTTTCAAAAGAACTGTGGTCAAAACTTTATATTCTATGAGCTAGAATTCTAAAATTCCAGTTTTGAGCTAAATGCTAAAAAAAAAATACATAATTCAGAAAAGGGTCTTAGTAAGACTAGAAAGTAAAATACTTTCTTTACACAAATAAGTCAAAATAGCAGTTACTGAAATGATTGTCTAAAGCCATGTAAGGCATTAATTAAAAGTAAACACTTGCTCCAACAAATTTTAAAAGAATTTAATGACTCTTTTAAAGCCAAACTGATAATCTGAGGCATATATTCATACTTTCTCAATTTATAATGTAATCTCAAGTTACAATGCTTTTCATATCTCTTTTCATCAGCACTTACCATGAATATTTTTTCCTTCCCTTAAAACAGAAAGCTACCTCCAGAGTTGGATAATAATATAGAGAGATAAACACACAACAAAAAGACTATATTGGATTACTCTACTAAGGCTGAAACACTTTGTATATGTGGATCTACTTAGAAAGACAAAAGGAAAAGATGGAAAAGGGAGAAGAAAAATCAAGAATATAAGCATAAAGTGTTCATCAATCAATGCAAAGTGTTTCATACCTTGTTATTTTCTGTAGCTACAGTTGCTCTTATGCTATTTGCAGACAGGAGGACTATCTTTTCATTGGTCAGCCCCAAAAATGTTGCTCGTGGATGATGCAATGAAGGATTCTTTGAAAGCATAAGAAAAATGATCACCATTTTGTATGCTGATAATGCAGAGCTAGTCAATGAAAGATTTAATATAAAATACCTGTGCATTCCTGTAAGGCTCCGATTCACTCCACTTCCACTGATAAAGTTCTCCTTTACTGCTCACAGCCAAAAGCTCAGAATATAGGGCCCCAATACAGATGAATTTTGTCCCATCCTATAAAGTAAAAATATCACAATGTATAAATGTAACAGTTGCCGAACTAATGGTTTGGATACAATATCACATAAAACCTGGATTATGTGAACACATAAGCCACAGCTATGACATTCTTCAGCCAGCCTCCAGGCCCACTATATGGCCCCAGCTCCCTCCCTCCACTCACACCGGCCTTCTTCCCACTCCGGGACCATGTCCACCAGGAACCCACCATGTCCTTATTCTTGTCTTGTTTCTCATGTGACTCGTTCCCTCTCCTCAATCAAGTCTGCTCAGATGAGACCCTCTCTGACCACACCATCTATAAAACCACCACTCACATATTTTATCTCCTTACGCTGCCTTCTTTTTCCTTCATAGCATTTCATAATTTATATTATATTAACTTGTTCATGCTCTATCTCAATAGAATATAAGCTTTGTATTGTTTACTACTGTCTCCCCAGTTCTTAGAACAGTGCACATAGTAAGTAGAGCAGGGAAAGTTGAGTGTCAAAAGAGATTCCCTCTCTGTAGGCTTTTTCAAGCTGCTAAAATAAACGTCTGTGTTGGTTTTTAAGGTAAAAGTTTGTTTAGTTTTAAGGTGATGTACATGCAATGGGTTGGAATGCAATTAAATTATACAAAGCTTGGACAGTAAATGTAAATAAACAATGTCAATGATAATTTTTTTGTTCTATCCACTGAGCCAAACCGGTTAGGACACAAGTACACTTTTTGTCTGTTTCTTGTAATTTGAATTATTTTCTTTAATTCATGACCCTATATAGATTCTATCACTTCACAGCTATTGATGTTTGTTTCCCACAGAAGACTGTTGTTTTCTACAGGCCAGAAGCTTCCTGAGATAATGTAAGCTTTCTCTTAAATTAAAAGAGTACGCACACATTAGTGTTAGCATTTAGCAGAGTTCAATCTATAGAACAATCTATAGTTCAATTTAAGAACAATCTATAAATTTTCACTGTGAGAGAACATCCTGAAACCAATAAGCTGCAAGGTGACACTATCAAATGCACTAACGCTAGCACCAAAAAAAGACATAAACATCATTTCTGGAAATCTCTTGATTTCTCTAGTAGCCTAATTTTACTGATGTTCTGTTCAATTACCTAATAACTAATGATCATGTTGTACTTGACAGTGGCATATATGTTTTTTGGTGATTTATACTTAAAGTGACACAGAAGCTATACATTTGATAAGTATGACAACTGGAAACAATGGCATAGAATCGCAGTTCTATCAAAAGAACAATTATACGTCACCAAGTCTAGTTCTATGATCTCTAATGAATAGTTCTTAATAGCTAGCTTTTTGAAAAAGGTGTATCCTGCTTTGCTGTGACTTAAAGGGAAGTTTCATCTACAAATTTTCAGAAAAGAATGGTGGAAAGCTTAAAGTCTGAAAGAGGACCAATAAGGAGGCTATACTTGAAGAAGAAGAAATGTGGCGAGACAAATTAGATGTATTAAAGCCTTCTAATAAAAATAAATTCACCTTAAAGTCAGGAGTTGTATATCCAGGGCCCAACATCTAACAAGATATACAATGAAAATACAAGCCCACCTCAGAGGTATTGTGGGTTCTGTTCCTTATCACCACAATAACGTTAATATCAGAATAAAACGAGTCTCGCAAATTTTTTGGTTTCCCGGCACATATAAAAGTTTATACTATTATTGTAATCTATTAGGTGTACAGTATCATTATGTCTAAAAAAATTATGTACCTTAATTTAAAAATACTTTATTGCTCAAATGCTATCATCTGAGCCTGTTGAAAAAATAATGTGGATAAGACGTCTTTGCCACAAACCTTCAATTTGTAAAAAAAACACAGTATCTGCAAAGCACAATAAAAGGAGATATGCCTGTACATTTCTCTCAATAATTATGATCTGTGAGTGCAAGTGCAGCTAAAAACTCTACATGATCAATAATTTTTTCTGATGCTGACACATGAACACTCGTTCTGTGGCTGTGACTGTCTTAAACCTTCAGTTGTTTGTAGGTTCAAAACAAAATCTTAGCTCTACACCAAACTGTTAACATGTTGCTATCTTTCAGCAATTTCATGCCATGCTATTGTGTTCAGCTTTTCTTCAGTGTATCTCTAAAGTATCTGTTCAGCCCCCTCCCCCGTCTATAGTAATGTCATCCTACATGGTAATAAAGCAATTGTGAGTCCAGTGAACAAGGAACTTGGAGAACATCAGAGAGCAATGTTTGAACTAACTAGGAAAAGGGGAGCTCCAAGAAGAGAGAAACTGTCCAAAGCAACTGACATAAATAGGACAATAATAGTCAAAACAGTTCGTAATTGCTGAAAACTTTCTAATTGGAAGGCCAACAAAGGATCAGGACAAGACAACCACGAGTAGCAAAAAATAGCCACAAACAAAAAGAACAGCTCCATTTCAGCTGTGTTTTAGAGAAAAATAACAGCTAAAATGGTTAAAACTTTTTAAGACTCAGAGGATATAAGTAATACGGTAGAGAGAAAAAAATGAACTGAAAGTGTCAGATGAGGAGATTAGCTCCACATTATGTAATAAAATCCACCATTTGTCTAAGTGTTAGGGATTATAAAGTCCTTAAACATCCACTACAGCACTTACTATAATGAATATAAATGTCAAGTTTTATCCTGAAATTAAACTTCTATGAGTCTAATGAATCATGTAACAATAGCCCTCAAACTCTTCCCTATTAAACATCACTGAGAACCTAAAAATATTTTGTTTATGTGGGTCAATATAGTTGGTTTTTAATATGTAAATAGTTAAAACTGAGAAATTTTAAAATATTCATTTAACAGTAATATATCTCATGTTGATATAATTTTTATGAAAAAAAAAAACACTACA